TCCGAGATTTATATATTTAAGAGCATCGCATAGGATACAAAGAAAAAAAGATGACATAACATCAAAATCCCGGCCCTGGTAATTACAAATGAACAAGGCTGTAAAAGTATATGGGCCCAATGTGCACTTGGCAGGTGCGTCTGACAGAGTTGGTTATGAATTAAATGATGAAGACTAAAACGAACTCTTCCCTTATAACAAGAAACCATTAAATTCACATGCAACTATCGATTGTTACGTGACACTCGAATTGACGGGAGATCAAATCTATGTACTTGATGATTTAAAAATACACACTAGACAAAAAAATAAATACACGTAAACTGTTTAATATAAGTTTCAAGGTCATAATTTAATAGAATACTACTAATAGAATGAACCAAGTATAATTTCGGCGCAGTTCGAACTCAATAAAGGTTTTTTCTTTAATTGCGATCATGTTTAGGAGGCCATTGTTCATTGTTGAATACGCAAGTTCGAAAACGTAGAATATAATTTTTTTAAAAAACTGCAAGGCTCTCCAGATAAAATGTACTGGGCACAGAATGTTTCAATTTCCTGTACAATATTTCTTCGAAACATTTTCGTCATATATTTAGCGAGGTACATGTAAAGTGATAGTTAAGCGTACCCGATCTAAATTAAAATTGAAATCAGTGTCAAATTCCACCAAAATCCCCCCTGCGGTTCTCGAGTCCATGCGTTGGACGGATGGACAGACCGAATGAATGCAATTAACAGACGCTTCGCAGGCTTGTTATCGCGCTTACAAAGGTAGTAAAGTAAAATTCACTGAAGCTATGGTCAGATCGATAGGTAGCAGACGTATCAGCTACCTGCATTTTTCATGTGAAGCAATCACTCGGCGTCAGACAATTTGAAATTCCAGCCTCGTCAAACTACTTTTTCTCGTGACAAACCTCAGGCAAGAAAGTAACAAAATTGTGCTGTAAACTACAGCAATTGTAGGCTGAAGGCTTGACAAAATTTGTTTCGTTAAGTGGGTCATGACACGAAACGGAAAGTGTTCTCCATTGGGGGACTACAGTATTTCAAGAAGCGTTATTAGCAATTTTTCATCTCGATACGTAAAATCTATAGCTTCCAGGGAAGAACAGAAAATTTCAGAACGAGGAACTTTTCATTTTTACTCCTCGTGTAGTATTGTTAGAGCGATGTAAGGAAATTCGATTATCGAACTCGTTATATTCGATTTGGTCGGGACTGAAATATCGGATTTTGCCTGTGTGAGTTATATCTTGTGTGGAGGACAGAGTATTACAGGCCCACAATTTCCTACCTCTTCCCAATTACACATTAAAATGAGTCTCGCGTGTGGTTTGGTAGTACAGCATCCCTGTTGGTCCAGAGCCTGAATCAATAGGCAGGCACTGGGGGTACAGAGAGCAATATCCGTTGTCATGGTAACATTGGGTGGGGCGGTGTCTGCCTTTTACTCAACATCCTGCGTTGTCAGATTGTCAAATTCAAAATACCGTACTGCCTGTTTCTTGTTTGGTTCACCCTTAGATCGTGAAGATGGAGGAAATCTGCTCTTCCGAAACGTTAGTGAACTTCCGAACTACACGGTATCAAAATACCATGTTGAATGTTTCACAGTCAAAGGCCAAGTCTATGGTACAAGGTCTTCTTGAACGGTTGATAGTTATTCAGGTGTTTGTAAACGTGTTATGGGATCCTGTTGTTCATCGCCAAGTTCACAAAAGGCGCGATAGGAATGTCTGAAACCAGTTCAGTTTAGTTTACTTACTAAACACTTATTTCTTTTATATACTTCTGAACTAACTGAACACTGAGGTTGCGTGGATAGAACTTATGTTTTATTTTCATTAGGCCGTGGGTTCGAATCTCGGCCATGTGTTGAGCTATTCTGACTGAGGTATATGCATTCCCTTGAGGCACACTGTGGGACCATACCTTAAAACAGGCCGTGATGGTTTCGTTCTGCATCATACGTGATCATTCTATGAAGGTGCAGTTGAAATGTTATCAGCTGTGCAAAGAATCAATATGGCCGTGTTCCCGCGCCAAGGTCTCTGAAGTATTTTCTTGTTTTTAAGTTTTCCAACAAAATTGTCATGTGAATACTGTTAATAAAACGTGAACAAATGTTCCAACTATGTACAGAGACAGTACGAGTATATTGTAATTACATTTGGAGATGGGTGCACTATTTTCCTGTCAGCAGTCACCATCTTTTTTCACAAAAAAGTTTTTTTCTGTTAGCAAGAAAGTTGGATGTGGGATGCATGAATTAATGTTTATAATTTTTTTCATTTATATTTTTTTATTATTAGTACTAGTTTACCATCGGAGAGAGGATAGCGTAGTAGGTGTATTGACTGGCTAGGGGCTAGACGACCGAGGAGTCGGAGTTCGAGTCCCGGTAGGGTCAAAAATTTTCTCCACGTAGTCCAGACCGGCTCTGGGGTCCACCTAGCCTCCAATCTAATGGGTACCGGGGGCTATTTCCCCGGGGGTAAAGCGGTAATGGCGCGAAGCTGACCACTCACCTGCAACTAGTGCCACGGTGACGAAAATGTGGATCTATACATCCACTCCCCCATACGCATTCATGGCGTAGTGACTGATTGGTTAAGCACAGAGATGACTTTGCCTTTTTTTACTACTTATTTTCATTAACGTGTGTTGGGTCACATATTTTTCTAAAATATAATTTTGCAATATAAATTAACTGCGTTGCTAGCCCCAGTTGATTAGCCAACCTATTATTAAAGAACAATATTAAAACACAACAAAAGCACAACACACAAGATAGTGAAGGAGTGCTCCAACAAAGGAGAATGGGCGTGACTGACGTAGTGAGGGGCGACGTAGCGATGTGGTATCCTGAACAATTTTAATATTTTTAACGTTTGACAATGTATATGATAGATACATATTTTAGTTATTTTAATGTGTGAACATGGCATGCAATGAACTGGTTTGACGTGGACAAGTAAGCACCTGAAGATGGCATTATTATGCCGAAACATGTAGTGCGAGGGAAAGAAGGAGATAAATGAATGTATGCACTGCAAGACGGATTAAATAAATCATGAATATTAAAACATTTTGGTATTATTATATTGTCACATAGTATGGAATGACTATAGACTGGGTTCTGGATAATTGGATTTATTGACAACTTACAGGTCGTAACTACAGATAACTATGACACTATCGCTGATTACCACACTTTACAAATCACGCTAAATCTTCTCCATCCTGCAGTGTCTTCACTAGCAGTTTCCTGGTAACACCTTCTAACAGTGGCTATTCCCTCTGCTCTGTGCCGAAGCCCTCCCTGGATGGAAGCTTCCCTTCAACTGAACTCTTCTTTAGTCCGAGTCTGAGTCTTGTTACGACCTGCGGTCAGTCGGCCAGTCTGTCTTGGAACAAAGCACCCATCTGGGGCTTACGATAAGATTTTTTTTTTGCTGTCAGACAGTTGCTGGTTTGTGGGGCACTCTGACGAGATGACGGGTCTGTTGTTTACAATTGCTGATGGTCCTTGCCAGCACAGTCGTTCTCCGGTCCGAGTCCCGTGGGACTGGCGGCCATATTTTACTGCCTCAGATTACAGACTTCTCTTTTCGTCGCCTCCTGCCACTCGCAGGGCTACGGTGGAGGTATTCGACCCCACCTCCACACGGGATTGACGAACTGTTCAAGTCAAAGCCAACTCAGTCGCTGGCTTCCCACCGCGGCGGCCCGGGTTCGATCCCGGGTTGGTCAAGTGGGATTTGTGGTGGACAAAGTGGCGCTGGGGCGGGTTTTCTCCGAGTACTTCGGTTTCCCCTGCTAATCTTCATTCCACCAAATTCTCCATCATAATCACCTGGAGCAGGCTACAATAGGCCAATCAGTGGCCACTGTGCGGAGTGGACCCAGTTGGACTCCACCCTCCACTAAGCGATTTAAAAAAAGTCAAAGCCAAAGTCACATTGCGACTGACGGTCGGTCGGTCGGTCGGTCGGTCGGTCATGGTGTCAAGCCCCTATCTGGGGCTCATGACCAGATATTTATTACTGTTTGACAGTTACGGCCTTTTTGTGGGGCGCCCTTTCTGATGAGAGGGCGGGCCTGTCTTTTGTATATGCTGCTGACACTTGACAGCACAGTCTGTCTTGGGGCTGAGTCCCTTGGGACTCGCGACCATATTTTACTATCTCAGATTTGAGACTTCCCTTTTCGTCGCAGGGTCACGGTGGACGTATTCGACTCTGCGTTCACACGGGTAGAACTGTTCTTGCTACACCTGTCCTCCAGATAACCCCTTTGCGCTGACCAATTAGAGAACACTTCCAAACAGTACCTCTATTGTTGCAGGCATATCAAGTATAGCAGGAACGCGTTTACTGAGCCTTTGCATAGAAATGGCTTTGGTATATTCGCTTATCTCATATTCGTTGCATAGTAACAGGTCTACATGCTACAATATGCTTAACAGTGGTAATTCTTATAAAAATCATTTTATGTAGCATCTGTTCAGCATATTACTAAAGAGAGTCATGACAACTGCATGTCAGAATGTTAGCATTTACACCTTCATGTTATAATTAAACTGTACTGAATCTGTGAATAGTAACAATATAAGTTTATTTACAAAATGAGGATACATTCCATTGAATTTTCAAAAGCCATGACACTACTGGTACATATTGTGGGCTTTAACTGTACGGTCTTCAAGAGAAGTCCAGCTACATGTTCTGTTTTATATACAACAATTAGGAGTCTCCCCATTTTGTAATCAGCAATCAGAGTTCTCTATTAATATTTTCAGAGATAATGACGTCTCATACTTTATGTAATACCAGAATGAAGTTTCTTCAAACATATCAACAGTTGCTATAATTATCATTTCTTCAGTCACATGATGATGTCATTTGTAAGAGGATTCAGTCCCTTGTAGTATCTTTTCTATTTAAAATTTGATTAAGGTATCACTAATTACAAATTTTCATTTGTTATTTCAGGTTCTAACACCTCAGAAATTTGGTGATGTATACTTATATGATTTACCACCAAACAGGAATATTTCAAATCAAGGCAGATATGATGTGCCACCTACAGCACACATATCTGTAGTTGATGGAAATCAAGGTTAGTAGGTTTAGAAATTTTATTCTTCTCAGGGTGTACTATCTGATGCATGTGATGGCACTAAGATACACATGTGGAACAAGAGTAAAACTTTTCTGTGGATGTAAATTGACCACCAACAAACCCTCTTAACACTCAGGCTTAGCCTTTAAGCATACTGAATGTTAAGGTTACATCAAAATGACTGAACACTTCTGTGGCCTTCAGAACTATTCTAACTGGCAACATATGTCTGATATCACTTGTACTTTATAGGTCGATACTCAGTCCCTCCATCACGTTCGTCTGGGTCTAGTGATCCTCCAATAGACACCAGTGGAGGAAGTGAATCATATGACATTCCTCCTCGAGCCAATCCGGTAGCTGCCAACTATGACACACCAAGATCATGCTGGCGCACTTCTCCTGCCCCGCCTGGCTGTCGGGACTCGATTGACAGTTATGATGTCCCACGGCCATTGGGCACTGCACTAGCCGGTGGGAATGTGTTGCTGCTACAGCAGCAGCAGCAGCAGCAGCAGCAGCTAACCCCAAGCAGCTCTGCCAGTTCACTCACCGCAGACTCCGTGTCCAGTTCCAATAGGTCCAGTCTTGCGCTTGCACCAGAGTATGATGTACCACGGCCTACAAGAGGTGGACCCCAACTACAGCTTCAGCAGCTACAGCAGCAGGTAACATGAAGTGAACATCTGCAGCAGTAAAAGACATGCCTGCTCTTGTAAGGCACATGTTTAAACTGTCTCTTCTTGCTGCTACCACTTACAGCCAGTGTCTTTTTTTCTTCCGATTACTGTGTAAGTCCCAACCGGTTTAGAGCCTCACAACCTGCCATTTTCTTCATAACATGGCCATTTCAGAGACCACTGTTCTGCCAAGATCTGGGTCTCAGTTCAGAGGCCATATGCTGTCAGGTTGCAAGTTCTAAACTCTCCTATGGTTGAGTTCCCACTCTGCCACGTACAAGTCTTCAGGTGGCACTTACGGTTGATAGGCCCAAATCAAGCCCAGCACACAGGTTGCTTATTGGCTGAGCATGTTTCATGTTGATAACAGTGGCAGCAGTATATCCTGATAATTTGAGACATATCAAGAATATTTTTATCTGCACTGATTGCTGCATATCTGCATGAATAATGTGCCTAATACTGATAAAGGAAAGTAGAGTTACCCCTGTAACTAAGCACTATGCCATGAAAGTATATGAGGTAGTTTCTTGACTTAACAGCAGCATAGGTTACGTAGTATACAGTCATGGATGGATGATTCTAGATGATGGAACTGAACAGGATGTGGAGGGAAGTTATGACCTATTTAAGAGTACTTTTCTAGCATCAGCCTGAAGGAAGTTCCAAAAGCCATGAAGAACCTCATTCAGGATATTCTGTATATGACCTGGGATATTACACCATGCAACCTCACATGATGTTACATCTCAGAAGACTCAGATTTTAATATACACTGCTGTAAGAGCCTCAGATCACATTCAGGACACCTTGTCTCTGAGTTGAGAATTTAACTTTACAAACTTATGTCTAAGCTGTTTAGCAATGGGGCTGAAACTTGGACACTTAGGGCAGTAGATCAGAAACACCTGGAACGCTTCGAAATGTGGTGTTGGAGAAGGATGGAGAAGATCAGTTGGACCGATTATGTGAGAAATGAAGAAGTGTTATTTAGAGTCAGTGAGCAGAGGAATATCCTACACGAAATAAGAAAATGGAAGGTTAATTGGATTGGTCATATCTTACGCAGTAACTGCTTTCTAAAAGAAGTTATTGAAGGAAAGATAGAGGGGCGGATAGAAGTGACCAGAAGACGAGGAAGAAGACGTAAGAAGACGCTGGATGACCTTGGGGACAGAAGAGGATATTTTCATTTGAAGGAGAAAGCTCTAGATCGCATCAAGTGGAGGAACTGTTTTGGAAGAGACTGTGGACCTGTCGTCTTGACAGATTACTGATGAATAAATGACCCCTAAGTTTTGGATCTCTGTATTGAAACACAGAGGGCACCACAAACTGTGTTCAAGATCGTTTGATGTTCATATTTAACATATTTCCTCCTCTTTATTTTTTTAAGTTGGGAGGGGGAAGATCCCCACCCAACATAAGCTTGGTTTGTGATAAGTCTTTGCTAATGTTTGAAGCCCGCTTTTTATTCTTTTCTTGGATCTGCAGATGGCATGATGAAGTTAACTGTCTGTTCAAACATACCATGAAACGAAACTTTCAAAAACTGTTGTGTGATTCACGCTGCTATCCTTGATTTACAGTGCTGCCAGACAAAATTCTAACTGAAATGTATAGATTTATGTGAAACCAGAAAATATCCTTAGGCCAGCAAATGACAATAAAGTGCATGTTATGTTTAATCTGTTGCAGTTGTATGATGTGCCAGCATCAAACCCCACTCCACGTGAACTTCCACTGGAACTTAATTCAGCCCTTGATTCTTTGGCTCGGCTCCAAAGCGAAGCCACTGCTGCTATCTCCAGGCTGCTAGCTTATGCAGGACCTCAGTGGCGCTGTAAGGAAAGACTTGAACCAAAATTAATGGACATCAAATTGGCTGTGGTAAGGCTTCGTACCTCTTTGCATGACCTTGCTGAATTTGGAGAAGGATCACTAGGAAATGCAGCAAAGGCTCCAGACAAAGGGCTAGCAGTCAAGTTACGGCCTTTAATAAAGGCGCTAAGAGATGCAGATAGGCTTGTTCAGGAGGCAGCTGCAACACTAGATAGCTTGGAGTGGTCAGTTGATACTCTGTCTCATCCAGATGATGAGCAAGCAGAAGGGAAACAAATGACACCCCAACCACCTGATGCTCTTGATCAACTTGTTGCATGTGCAAGGGCACTAACAGAAGACGTACGGCAAACAGCATCTTTCATCCAAGGCAACTCTACACTTCTCTTCAAACGGGCTTCTACGCCTCCTGGAAACAACGGTGAATGGCTTGAGGACTATGATTATGTCAATCTGGAATCCAGAGAAAGCGTGGCACAGCAGCATGCAGAGATTCGTGATGCTCTTCCTGCAGAACTTCGAAAATCCTATGATGTACTGGTGAAAGAGGCAGAATCAGCAGCTGTTATAAGTGAACCTAAAGCAGCATCAGGTGATGAACTCGATCCAAATGATCGCCAGGTCTTGACTTTCTATGCTGCACAAACAGTAACTTACACCACACACTTAACACATGCTATTGATGCATTCCTTCAAACTGTTGAACACAATCAGCCTCCTAAAGTATTCCTTGCACACAGTAAGTTTGTAGTTTTGAGTGCACACAGACTAGTCCACATTGGTGACACAGTGCACCGTAATGTCATGCGGCCTGAAGTAAGGGCGAGAGTACTACAGTGTGCCAATGCCTTGTCAGAGGCTCTGGCAGCTACAGTACACAAGACCAAGAAAGCAGCACTTCAGTTTCCGAGTGTTACTGCCGTACAGGAAATGGTGGACTCTGTTGTAGACATTTCTCATCTTGCGAGAGACCTAAAGCTGAGTATGGTTCAAGCTGCGCAGCAGCCCAGTGTTGTGCAGTAGAAAACAGCAGAGCATGTGTGTGTGTATGTGTCTACTTAACATCGATTTTAATGCCTAACTAGTATAGAAAACCTGTACATTCCACAAGAAACTGCCATATTTAGTGAAACTAAAAGCTAACACATTGCCATGAAAAATGAGTAGTGCATTTTGCATATGATGTGATGCCAGTCTTTTGTGTAACTGAGAAGAAAGCGCTTGCTTTCCAGCTCAGTATTCAAATGATTGATTCACTATAGACCTACATAAAGGTACATAGTACTTTTATTGATTCATGTGCATGCTCTTTGTTATGATCAAAACATGCAGATATGGAAAACAATCTTGCAGACAGTTTCCTTTCTTGCTTCTGTTCATATTGATTTTATAATACCTTTGCTGATGTTAAGACATTCACTCTGAAACTCAATGTCAGTTGACATTACGGGAGGCTTTAATCTGTCAGCTTCAACAGAAGTTGATTTAGCACACTTCTCTTTATAGCTTGTATTAAATTGTGATGGGTTACATCATCAATGAATATAGGTTGCTTGACGTATGAGAGCTCGTGTGTGAAACATGGCAATTGTATGATGCAACAGCTGATCCCTAGCACACAGTACTACTACCTTTGTGATTTGTGAGTTCTAACAAAGTGCAGTCATGGCAGCAGAAAGATTTTAGGAACACTTAAGAAAAGAAAAAATTGTGGAAATTGGAAATGACTGTGATTCTGATAATGGTTTTGAACTTAAATTAGGGCTAATCATAAGAGGACAATGAAGAAATTCCAGAATTATCAGATTATTCAAGTCAGTCAGGATATTTTTTTAAAAGAGATTAGATCAATATTTCACCTTTTATCACCAATTCTCTAAAGGTTTGGCCACACAGAGCGCTAGGTACGCAATGCACGCTATGTACACTATGTTCACTATACGAACAGAAAAATATCTCCCTTTATTGCCAATGTGACTGGCCACACAGACTTCTGTATGCTATGTTCCCTATGTTAGCTGCGTTGCAGAGTGTACACAACGTACGTAGCAAACATAGTGTAGCACTCTGTGTGGCCAAACCTTAGAGAGAGTTACATTGCGACTGACAGTCAGTCAGTCTGTAAGTCTTGGTGTCGAGCCCCATTTGGGGCTCATGACCAGATATTAATTATTATCGTTTGACAGTTACGGTCTTGTTTCTGTGGGGCGCCTTCTCTGACGAGAGGACGGGTCTGTCTTTTGTATATGCTGCTGGTCCTTTCCAGCACAGTCTTTCTCAGGTCCGAGTCCCTTGGGACTCGCGACCATATTTTACTGTCTCAGAATTGAGAGTTGAAAGAGAGAGACACACACACACACTTACGGATCATCTTCAGAGGGAACATCAATACTTATTCGGAAACCACCATCACAATAGGTGTTCTGATTGCTAAACTACATACACACATAATGCCTGGAATACACAATGTACACAATATTCAACTTTTCACAATCACAGCAGCCTTCCTGGTATTAAAACTTTTAAAGTGTTTAAAAAAATTAGCTTACCTGGACTTAAATGTATTTAATAGACACAGACAAATAGAAATTGAAATATACAGGAAACCCACGACGTGCTATCCTAAAGAACAAAAATTGCCAGCTTATAAAAATTGGATACACAGACTTCTTACATTACCCCTTGAGGAAAATGCTAAAAACAAAGAATTAAATACTATTATTAATATAACACTAAATAATGGCTATAGAAAGGAAGACATCACACATCTATACAACAAACTTAAGCTAAAGATGGGTAACCTGGATAATAAAGACGAGAAGGAACAAAATGGGTCACTTCTACTTATACAGGAAATTACATACGAAAAATCACAAAACTATTCAAAAGCACTAACATACAAGTAAAGATAGCCTTCAAAACAGCCAACACAATAGGTAAACTAATAAATGAAAAACGAGACATAAACCCCTACGAACAAAGTAGGATATAGGAAATAACATGCCAAAGTTGCCAAAAAGTATACATCGGCCAAACTGGTAGAAATCTAACAGGATACAAAGAACACATAAGAAACATAAGACTAAACAAGGACAAATCAGCATTTGCCCAACACATGCATTTAACTTTCTGAGATAGCTGCAACCTGACAAAATGAAAACTATAATCCCTGACATTATGCAGACTATCATTGATCATACCAATTTATATTTTGACACATTGCTAGGCAACGAGTTGGTAAACACATTCCTGCAACAATGGAAGGACATCCATTGCTAGGTAACAGACCAGGGTCTCCATGTGAAGTCATCCAGAGAGGTCACTCACCATTTTTAAAAAAATTCATATTTTGTACACTTATTTCTAAATATTTTCACACTTCAAAAATATTTTTAAAAAAATTGTAATCTGCTCAGTTCTTCTGGTACAGCCGTTTTTATAATGTGAAGAAACTCGTTTTCTCCTGAAATGGAGGTTTGCTTTATCTCCCATATCTCGATAACTATTGAAGCTAGAGACTCCAATAAGAAACCAATTTGTTCCTCATGATATGGACTAAATTATGTCATTACAAGGTTTCACTCAACTCACTTCCTCTAGGTCTAATTAAGCTCGAAACTTACCTATCGATTTTTGGAAAATCGCTATTTTTCACCTTCAAAAACCAGTGGTTTCTACCCTTTATTGTATCCTATATGGAGAATATAATAACATAGGTTGAACCCCATACCTATTTTCCAGAATTTTCTAGGAGTTTTCAAACTTTGCTCTGGGCTCAAAATCGGCCATTTTTAACATCTCGTATCTCCGATGGAGAAGCTCTGGAAATTTTGAAATTCATAGCAAATAATACTCTATTCTAGAGAAACTTGGAGTTAAAATTACAACTTTGATATTCAACTAATAGCGAAGTTCTGGGCACTTTGAATTTTACAGATTTTGCAGAAAATTGTTCGTTTATCGTTCAAAACGAGATTCAAAGTTTCCACTGGGTAAATCAACAGGCAACACTTCACCCTTTTGTGTATTACTGCAAGGCGGAAAGTATGACAAAATGCTGAAGCTTGTGTATAATCAGTGATCATGTAAAGCACGATACAGTCACAGTTTATGTATTCCAAAAATTTCTTATTGCCGATATAAAAGAAAATGTGCCTTCAGTCAGGAAAGTTATTTATTTCAGTGATGGTGCTGGAAGCCAATATAAAAGCAAAAAGAATCTTTCAAATTTATGTCATCACTATGAAGACTTCGGACTTGAAGCAGAATGGGACTTCCTTGCCACCTAGCATGGGAAGAATGCCTGTGACGGTATTGGCAGCACCACGAAGAGGCAAGCCGTGAAAGCCAGTCTTCAAAGAACTCATTTTAATCAAATCATGTGCCTGCTAGAACTGTAAATATTCTGCACAGAAAATATCCCATGGATAGTTTACTTTTTTGTGCCAAAAGAGGAAGTTGCAAGAAATGAAATCATTCTAAAAAGCAGGTTCCAAAAGTGCAACACTGTGCCCCACACAAGAGAAAAACACCGGGTCGTCCCTCTGGAGGAAAACACGGTCAGGTGTTATAAAACATCCAAGCCCGATGATTTTGAAGATATCGTGATAGTATACACTTACTGAACTACTTTCAAACAAACTGGACAATTTTCATCGGAGTACACAAAGAACTAATGCCACTGGATGCAGGTAAGCCAGTTGTTGAGGTATTGATGTCTTTTGGTAAAATTCAAAGTGCCCAGAACTTCGCTATTAGTTTAATATCAAAGTTTTAATTTTAATTCCAAGTTACTTTAGAATAGATCATTTTTTGCTATGAATTTCAAATTTTTCGGAGCTTCTCCATCGGAGATATGAGATGTTAAAAGTGGCCGATTTTGAGCCCAGAGCAAAGTTGAAAACTCCTGGAAAATTCTGGAAAATAGGTATGGGGTTCAACCTATGTTATTATATTCCCAATATAGGAAACAGCAAAGGGTAGAAACCACAGATCTGATACTTTCCCCCTCCCATTGGTTTTTGAAGGAGAAAAATAGCGATTTTCCAAAATCGATAGGTAAGTTTTGAGCTTAATTAGACCTAGTGAATGTGAGTTGAGTGAAACCTTGTCATGACATGATTTATAGTCCATATCATGAGGAACAAATTGGTTTCATATTGGAGTCCCTAACTTCAATAGTTATCGAGATATGGGAGATAAAGCAAACCTCCATTTCAGGAGAAAACGCGTTTCTTCGCATTATAAGAACTTCGCTATTAGTTGAATATCAAAGTTATAATTTTAACTATGTTACTCTAGAATACAGCATTATTTCCTATGAGTTTCAAATTTTTCGGAGCTTCCCCACCGGAGGTGTGAGATGTTAAAAATGGCCGATTTTGGGCCCAGAGCAAAGTTTGGAAGCTCCTGGAAAATTTTGGAAAATAGGTACGTGGTTCAAAACTACGTGATTATATTCCTCATGTAGGTAACAACAAAGGATAGAAACCACAGATCTGATACTTTCCCCTTCCCATTGGTTTCTGAAGGTCAAAATTAGCGTTTTTTGCAAAAACGATAGGTAAGTTTCAAGCTTAATTACACCTAGAAGAAGTGAGTTTAGTAAAACCTTGTAATAACATGAATTGTAGTCCATGTTATGAGGAACAAATTGCTTTTCATTGGAGTCTCTGGCTTCAGTAGTTATCGAGATATAGAAGATAACGCAAACCTCCATGGGAAAATGCGTTTTTTCGCATTATAAAATTAGCTGTACCGGGAGAACTGAGTGGATTACAATTTTTTTAAACATATTTTTGAAGTGTGAAAATATGTAGAAATAAGTGTACAAAATATGAATTTTTTTAAAAATGGGGAGCAACCTCTCTGGGATGATATCACATGGAATGACCCACCAGTAACCTTGCATCCTTAACAATAGAAGATGGTGTTTTCCATGAGGTTGTAAAAGGGCATAGAAGACGTGAAGGAGTATAGAGCAGTAGTTGAGAATAGTTGAGTCGAGTCTTTGGAATTGGTAGCTGCGGCAATGACAATTGAATTAGACTGTGCCAAGAATACTTCATGTGAATTACGTGACAGTGCGACTGTGATAAATCCATTGCCAGGATACAGCTAATGAAGACTGAGAACCCTAGTGCGTGTGTAATGATGAACTGGAAAGTGTGTAGAATAGTGATAGTGCTATACTACATGTAGTTCCGAACAGTGTGAATGGTTAAGGTGCAATAAATCCAATCATCCAATCCAAAACCCATCTTAATAGTCACCCCTACATATGGCAATATGCACAGCAGAAAATTTCAGCAGAGTTGCTAGAATAAGTAACAAAACTTTAATGTAGCAGTAAACAGAGTTAGCCTGACACAGTTATGCTACATTTACTACTACAGAAGCTTTCCTGGATAAGAATGTCAGAGAGTGTGGCTCTATCCATTCAAACTGTGGTCTTGTGAAGGACTAGATTGAATAATCACAACTCTAAAACCAGGGGAAACCACTTTTGAATGGAAGCAAGATGTATTTATTCTCAGCTTCCAAGAACAGTGTTAAATATGGTATCAACTCACACCGCAGAAACTGCAGATATCCCAAATACATAGGCAGAAAGATCTAAGGTGAAGCTAGTGTGTGCATCACAGATTGTGAGACCTGTCTCTCTGCTGATCAGTACCTTTGTACCCCACCATAATATTAAAGGTTATAAAGCAGCTGAAGAAAGTGTTATGCCTCCTGCAATGTCCTGTCTTATGCTTTATCACAACTGTTCAGATTTATCAGAAGCCCAAAGAAAGTACCTCTCATTAACATTTAAAAGAAAGAAGAGAAGAGAGGAGGGAACTGACATCAGACACTTGACAATGTTCATTGTGTCACAATTTCCCATCCTCTGATCAGTTGCTCCCATTTCATCAAAACAGACCATAAGAAAAACCTGGAATATTGACTGGAATGGAAATGGGGGGGGGGATGACAAACATATTCAAATGCCTGCCACCAAAGGTGATAAACTCCTGGCAGACATTGCGGTGTGTCTTCAGATGTTTTATATGAAGATCAGTATCAGTTAAGCTTTTAATGAC